TCTCCCTCTCCCTCTCCCTCTCCCTCTCCTCTCCTCTCCTCTCCTCTCCTCTCCTCTCTGAATAAATCCTCAGTTCTTAACAGGTGCTTAAATTCACATGAGACTGTGGCTGCCATGTCTGCCTAACTTTATGCCATGAGTTTAAATCAATTAACTATTCAGGATAATAATTCTATTAACTACTGTTAATGTATGTGTAGTGTATAATTCACAATACAAGCAATATCTGTTTGAAAAAAAGGGGACTCTAATTGCTAGACAATGGCAAAGCTTCTGTTCAATTAATGATGAGGCTGATGTTTCTGTATTCTGTGTCCATCTGTGCTTCAGACAGCAATTCACAGGTATAACTTACTGTAAAATATCTGAGCCAAATAATAAGTTAGGTAGACATGAAGTGCCAACAGTTGCTTTAAAAAATGAAACTGGTCCTTTTTTTGGAGATAAACTGCCAACAGTTGCTTTTTTCAAACTGGCCCTCATAGATCTTAGTGTACTTACAGTCTTGTTTTTACTTTGATTTTGAACCTAGGCCTCCTACATGTGTTGCAAATGAGACCAAGTGCTGCTGTTGTCATAAATTTTCATGAAATATGTCTTGTAGTCTGACTGAGGCAGTACAGGGTTCCCTATTTCCATTTCTAAATTCAAATATGTTTGAGTGAAAAAAAAAAAATTACCACTGTAGAGTTATCTAGAATATCCTTCTCTGCCTATGAAAAGTGTGGGAAAAGCAATTTTTTACAAGTATGTCCAGTTGGAATTTTTGCTTAGGGATTTTTTTTTTCTTTTTCAGATGTAAAATATTTTCATTTCAATTATATGCTTCATTGGTGCTTTTTCTGTAGCTACATTGAGCAGATTGGCAAAAGATCATTGCATTTGAGGCACTGATGTATTCAATAACATATAATCAATAGTCTGATAGGCTTTCAAAATTATTGTTACTGTTGTCTTTCTGTTCAGGATCCAAAGAATAGAATTTTTTATCTGGGATCCATAGGAAGACATTCTTAGATTTTGTATATGATTTAGTAATCTCATTAGCCTCAAGTTTTTTAAAACAAATGGGATGGTTTATTTTGTAGGATTTCCATTTGCCACATCAGACCCAGCAACAATTCACATAAAAGCCTGAGGAAAAAAGCCCCCTTATTTTACCTGCATTGTCTGTAACAGAAGAAGACCTAAAGGAGAATGACAGATTAATATTGCCCTTGCTCACAGGCTGGTTTAATTATCTTGTTAAATAATACTTCTCACTGAAATTCATGGTTCTGTAAGTACAAGTCATTGGAGACTCTGGTCTGCATTGGATTGAAGTTGAATAATCCATAAAAAAATAGGAGCATTTCTTCAGTTTTCTTAATTTTTTCCACGCTGTGGGATCCTTCTGCATTTAGTACAGACACATTGGAAATACATTTTCTGTGCAGAGGTGGGGATGGAGCTTCATTTTTGGATGCACTGGATTCCCTGAGAGTGGGAAAACTGCCTCAGCAGCCCAGGGATGTGGTCATGGTGTGGGTATGGCTGCAACTGAGCCTACAAGGGCAACAGATATGGGGTGACTCCTCAAGGTTTATTACTTACAGTTGTCTGACACTTTCATGCTTCGTTTCCAGTTGAAATAGGCATTTTAAGAAAACATCAAGCCGACAGCCTGATTTAATCCCAAGGGCTAAGGCCACAAGCACCAGCCTGTGCTGTCAAAGACTTAATCAGAGCCAGCAGCTGGCCAGGGAGCTTTATTTCGGTATGTGCATGTTCTGATGGTCACTGGTTGAAAACTCCTTCATTTCTGTGGGTGGTCCATGGCACTGTGAGCCTGACATATGCTTTGGGGGTTGTTTTTTTCTTCCATCAAAAGGATACAAGTCTTCTCCCTGCTTGAATCAACACTGCAGTCTGACATCGTGTGACCAATATGGAGAGTGCCTGAATAAAGGGCTCTTAAAGAGAAGAATCCTTCTTAAATATTGCAGGGCATGCCCGTCTTTCTGGCAGGTTGATGTTTGCAGATAAACCCTTTTCATACTGCATTCAATTCCAAATTCTTTCTCCATACCTAGAGAATCTATTTAGATGCCTTCACCACAGGATTTGGATACCTGAGAATTTTATTTTGTTATTTTTCATGTGGTGCTGTGATTTTAAAAGGAAGCATTCCAAATGAAATAGGAGTTCAAAGAAAAGACTGACTATTCTGCCAAGTTGTTGAACTTCTTCTGTTTGCTGGGGAGTGCCAAACATCAGATTGGCAGAGTATCTTGGGGGTTTTGTTTTTGAAGGTGAAGGGGGAAATTTTAGTCCAAAATATATGTCATAATGGTTAAAGCATATAGAATGTTTTTAAAATATTTGAAGATGCAGATCCGAGGCCAATCTCACTGTGTATCTGATTTTTATGAGCTCCACTGCTACTATCAGATCAGTGGATTAGTTTTATACTTCTTTTCCTAAATTTGTATTGACAAATCCAGCCATTCAGAATGAAGAGCCATCTTCTGGACAAGGATTTATAAAGAATGTATGGTTTTAACTGCATTGTAGGGAAAGTATATAATAATTTTTGTCAGACATCTTTTCAATTTGCTGAAAAGAAGCTATTGGAAGATACAAGTTCTTATGAATGCAGGAGCTGGAAAGAAAAAAAGAAAGAAAGAAAAAGGGGGAAAAAAAAGCTTTAAAACTTGAGATTAAATTCTGACAGCAACATTGCTGTTCCTGACTCAGAAAAAAAACCCCAGAACTTGCTGCCTTCATAAACATTGAATTCTTTTTTCTCTGCTAAGACTGCTACAAGCTTGGCTTGTGATGCTGACAGTACTCAAGATGCAAGTCTCTTGTTGATCTAACTTCTATAAATTAGATGGTTTGAATCTAACTCAGAGAAGACAATAGACTTTTGTTATGAGAAGGGTGAGTTCCTTTATATGTGGTTTGTAGTTCATATGTTTGTTTTTAAGTCAGGACAGTGTGAACTCTTCAAAATAAACAAAGAAAAGAGCAAAATGCCACCACTTAAAATCAGCCTTAAAATGGTAAACACTGGTAAATAATAATGGGGGTGAGAGGAAATTATTTTTGGTTTAAAGAAAAATAAGCTCCTGATCCTACCAGAAAATACCTGTTCAATTTTATGTGTGTTTGATCTACTGATCGCTGGGAGTTACAGCTCCAAAGCAAGACTGGACTAATTGAAGCATGAGTTCAAGGATACTTCAACAGAAAGGTGGTCTGAAAGAGCAAATAAAAGTTTGTAGGGGTAGAAACAAATTTGAACATAAAGAAGAGTATTTGGATTATTTTTTTTACATCCAGGCATGAGTACCATCAAGCCCTGTGGTTGTTAAGTATGGTTTATATAGCTTTTCATGCTGAAATCATTTCAAATTAAACATAAGTCTGCCAAGCTGAGAACACCATGTGAGCGTGAAGGCACAGAGGTTGAGATGGAGTTATGGCTAAGTAGGAACACTGTTGTGCACACACAGGAACTGTGCTGGCAGGAAATAGTCAATAAAACAGCCCCAGAAGGAATCAGCTGGCCAAGTGTTTTCATAGGAAATAACTGGCAGGAAAATACCCTCATATTAAAAAAGAAAAAAAAAAACAAAACAAAACCAGCACAAATAAGATGGAAAAGCTTACTTTGGTGTTTCCCTTTTTTTCCCACACTTGAGAAAGAGAGCAGTTATCAACATTTGGTTCAAAAACAGGCATTCTGGATGCCAGCCAAAGGTAGCCCTGCTGTGAAAACATTTCTGTGGCCGATACAATAGCTTATGGTAACCACTGCCTTCAGCTAGGAGCACTCTGCAGCAGGGTAATACAGTACCTGTTTTATTGCTGACGTGTTTCAGTTATTTTAAACACTTTTTCCTGGAGCAGATCTATTAAAGAAGCATTTTCCAGTATTATTGCAGTTTCTTCCTCTGTACAGTTGCCTGGGACCTCTGCATAGATCTTCAGTGGACTTCTCTTTCGACAACCAAAGTCAAGATTCCTTTAGAACCCCAGGTTTCATTTATTACTTGCTCTCTTTCCCCCAGCTGATAAACTTACTGGGGTGTGAGCTTATTCATGTGTATTTTTTGTTCTCCAGAAAGAACAACCCCCCTTCATGTATAATAACAAGCTTTATATAAAGAGTAATTGTATCCAGAGATCACCATCTTCTGAAGCAGGTTTGTTTTTTCTTTTTGCTTTTGGTTTATTCATGTTCTTTTATCTAAATGAAGAATACAATCTAACATAACTTCTAATTACTTATTTTGCAAAGCTCTAGACTCTATCAGAATTCACTTTATTATAACCATTATGTGAAAAACATTTTTCTGTTTTCCCTTGAGGACAGTAGCTCCCACAGCCCCTCACTGGACTCACAGCCTGGAAGCCTCTGTCCATGCTTCCTTGATGGAGAAAGGATGAAGAGACACCTCTCTCTGAAGACCAGCAGCCTGCAGGAGAAGGGACATGGATAATTTTTCTTTCTTTTCTTAAGTCACTGTGTAGGCCATAATACAAGTTTGAAGGCTGGCCCCAGTGCCCCATAGAGCACAGCTAAAAATCCCATTTCTTGATGCAGACATGTGCACGAGTTCCTAATCCTGTTTCACAAGAAAAAATAGAGTAATGATGTGATACTTCTGTGCTGCCCTGAGGAAAAATTCTGTGAACATGCCTTCTAATCTCTCGAACTGAAGTGAGTCTGTCCTGGAAACTTCAGCACGCTTCCAAGAGAAGTGTCATCCTAGGTAACAGTGGTTTCTTTCCAAGACACTTGTTCCTCTGGGTACAGTTGCTATTTGTAAATGATTCAGACTAATGTCTCATAGTCTGCAGGAACCTTCAGTCGTGACACAGAGGGCAGCTGTGCTAACCTTGCTTTATCCTCGGGGGTTTGGGGCAAGGCAGCTCTTGGACTCATTGGTGTCACTGAGCTTTAGGCCTCCGTGTCACAGGGATGATACTGTTCTTTTTGAGGTGGGAATATGTCATGCAGTGGGTATTCTGGTGTTGGGTGTAGTAGTTTTTGATGAACATTTTGCCATAAATTAGACTAAATGAGTGGGAATCGATTTCTGATTTAAGGCACCTGAAGTTTCCCTCAGTAGCAAAGCTCACTCCAGAGATGGCAAATCATGTCTCCTTTCAGAGACATGAAGCATATTTCAGTAAGTACACATTACATAACTTGTCCCACATTTCTTTCTCTTTTTAGCATCCCAGTGTTATGAAAAATTATGTTCCCATTAATCATTATAGCCACTCATATTTTTCTGTGAAAATAAATCACCGTCCTCTGCCCTTCCTGCACAGGAACATATTTAAATCAAAACAAAGATACGTCCACGATTGGTTCAGGGAAGGGAGTGTCGGCTAATGTGGCTTTGCTGCTGCAGAAGGATGAAAGCAGGATTTGTCTCTGTACTCAGTGGATTGCAATGCTGTGTGGTAGTGTCACTTGCCAAATAAGATTTCCCCTTTAGCACATGCAGAGCCCGCTTGAATGTCAGTGGAAACAGCGTGCACTCAGTGCGGGGGGACCTGCAGCTGAGTCCTGGGGGTAACGTTGAACCTGCTGCCTATTTTGTTCTTCCTACATCTGAAAACATTTGGGCTGGAAAAGCTAGAAAGCACCTATACTACTGGGAGAAACCAGCAGGCCTCTAAATTCCTGACTTAGATTGTCACCAGCTTTATTGAGACTGTGTTTAGAAAGCATTTAAATCTAGGTGTCCAAAATTGCATATGCAGCACCATATGCAGGCTACAGAGCAGGGGGCTGATTTTAAGACATGATGGGCATTTAGGCATTTACTGTTTTCAGATCTCAGGGCTTCTGAAAAGACATTTTTATTTACATGTTTTGAACGTGAATTTAGGGACTTACCTTATGCAGCAGTGTAAATAGAGAGGCTAGGCTATTTTTAGATTTCACAATGCGATACTGGGCAAAAGGACTTTTGAAGCAGAGATGGCTGGTTACCAAACCACAAACTTGGACCAACATTTTTCAGAACTGTCTCTTTCTCTTTATTCAGGACACATGAAAACCTAGGGAGTAAGTTAAAGGCTAGTTGTAGATGATTCTCAGGGAACAGATCCTCTACTGGGAAGTCAGTTTTCTCCAGCGAAGAGATCTGAGGAAAATTCACCCTTAGGACGGACTGAGTTTTCTTTTAAGTGTATATAAGATAATTCTGTATTAGTTGTACAAGGGAAATTAGTTCTTTATTTGTCCTCTGAAGAGAGAGAAATTTGCTTTGGTCTTTTGGAAGAGCACATGCTGTATTTTGGAAAATGAATATGCAATACAATAAAGACAGAAATTTTAGTGCAAAATGAATCAGTTTCATTCAGACAATTGAATATTTAAGAATCAAGCTTTTCTGTTGACCTGTTCAATTTTGGCTGAGAAATTAAATCCTTACACAGTGAAGGTAGTAGAAATAAAGATGTCATCCAAATAAACTCTGGTCATCTTCAGCTGACAATCATGCAACCAAAGAAAGGGATGTTCCTCTTGCAACCATGCAATATTTGCTGACCTTGGAGGCATTGGGTGTCATTTAACAACCAGGCTTGTGAGGCAGGGACACCTGGACGTGTTTTAGAAGCTTTCAGATATTATTTGTTTAATAAAGTCACAGAATAATTATTTATTAGTAAGGGGATAGTTCTAAAGCTCTAAGTCTGGCATTTGTGAAGGTTCTTCTATAGGTGTTTTCCACAGGCACTCAGCAGAGAAGATGTAGGGTGTATTGCTGTTGTGGTTTTTTCCCAATAATCAGAAATGAGATGTAGGCCTCACTTCTAAGCTTATGGTCTGGCTGAACTTGTTTTCTGTTTGGTATTTTCATTATCAAGGAAGGCTCAGAGTTTCTCTCTTGTCACTATTAATTTTGCTGAGGGAAAAGACAGGTCTTTGTTCACCACCAAAGTGGTCTCCTTGTGGAAAAAATCCAACATGGACAAAAATTCAACACTATTGCCACCATTGAAACAACACAAACTACCAATTTGATTTTGGGCAGGTTTTTTTTCCTTGTCTCACATGTAGGGAACTAATTTCTGCAGTCAGTAATGCAAATTGTTAGCAGCCATCTTTAGTGAATTTTCCCTGAGAGGTATGGATAATGTTGCTGCTCTGCTTTGTGGCATTTCCAGTGTCTGGGTATTTTCTGGTGATGCCATTAACTTTGAAGTTAATTAGAATACTTCATGGCTGAAATGTAGAGTTCGGCAGATATTCTAAGTTGGCAGTGGTGAGTTAGAAGTATCATTTCTTTGTTGCTCTGTCATCAAGACAAGTCATGACCTTACGCAATAGTTTTCATTGTGTGAAGCACATCTACTGTACCACTTTGCATGTATTTTAGGGATAATACCTGAGTTTGTGATTAATTCTTGGCATGTTTCCCCTTTCCTTTTCTTTAGCTGTTATTGAAGTCAGTCAGAAAAGATCAGTGAACACGTTACCACAGAAAAGATGTGTTTCACAGGTTGTTTGGAATATACAATCAGTGTACAATGGGTTGGGTACTATTCTTTACCAAGTGTGAGCAATGGTGCTGGAAGTGAAAATTGGTGTGAGCAATGGTGCTGGAAGTGAAAATTGCTGGGTTACACCATCATCAATTTGCTCCTTTAATTTTTTTTAATAAAAAGTAATTTGCTGCATTCAAATAATTGTGAACTCACTTGACTCTTGAATATGAAGAATCAAAGGCCAAATTTTGATCCATACTTCCATCTTTGCAAGAAGAATTATTTTAAAATGGGAGAAAGAATATTTCACTCCTCAAATGTGCTGTATTTTCTCTTAATGTTGTTGCTCCTGTTTCTTTCTTCACAGATTCACTGTGTTTAGAGGCATGCCATGACTAATGGGCCAGCTAGATGATTAGCAGAAAACAAAACTCCTACCATCTCATATTTTCCATTTTACAAGAGTCCAGCCATGCCATAGATATTTTCCATTCTTACTCTTGATATTCTACAGATGTGGAATCAAAACTCCCCGCACTGTATGGGAATGCAACTGTGGGATTGTACATGTGTGTTTTGCTCTCCTGAGTAATTTCTCCATTACCTGAGCTGCCCCAAATGTGGGCACTGTGCCCAGTGGAGTAACACTTACTGTGCCAACACTTTTATACGCCTTAATTCAGATAAAGCTTATCTGTCAAATCAAACAGAAGCTGCCAGCATTTGCAGCTTAATTGCTTTTCCAAATTCCTCTTTTGCCTAGAACAGTGAACAGAACTAAAAGAAACTATTGTTGGCAAAGTTCTGGAGTTGTCTTCACAGTTCCACCCCCCTCAAAAAACCCACTGCAGGAGTAAAAATCATTGGTGCAGGACTTAGGGCTTTTCGAAGAGTAAAACTTGCCAGAAATGTGGACTCCCTTTGATCCAAACTCTGACAGAATTTATTCTTCAGTGTTATTGCACTAGGAAAAAGGGATATGTATAATATATTATGTACACACTTAAATACAAAGGCTAAAGGTTTGTTTTATTGGGGAAATATTTATCTTTATGCTGTGACAGTTGATTTAGAAAAAATAGCCAAGCTCCGGAGCAATAGGAAAGAAGAGATGTGGATGGGTGATTAGGGATGACAAAGTTTTTGCTTTTCCCCCTGAATTGTGTTTACTTTTTGAACTTAAATTAAAGAGCTATTTAGTACTGTCATTCAAGTGGACAGTAACTTGGGCCTGCGTGGCAAGGAAGCTGAAAACACCAAAGTCTGCGTGACTTTTGACTGTGCACATAATGCATTTGAATTATGCCAACTTCCTTCTCTTTCCCCCAGAGACTGTGCCTCAGTATCTTGCATGGAAATGGCTGGAGCTGGTGGACACGTAATCACATGAGCTGATTATACATTTGTTCATTTTCTTAAGGCTGTTCCTTGCCGCTGTGCATTCAAAAAAGATTCTCTAGTAGTGCTTGTGCTGTTTTCTGTTTATGTACTTGTCTCTCTTCGTGGGAGGTTTCTGATTCCAGGAATTAGTATTGCTAATCCATTAGCACAGATTTTTTTTTTTTTCTTTAAGCTTTTTGTTCATCAAAATACTTTGTCAGCAAACTGATTTTATCTACGTTTATTGTTATGCCACCTGCTAAGAAGGAGAAGTTAATTGTTAACTCCACTTTGTTGAGAAAGAAGTGGCAAGTTGGTCAAGTTTTGCTCACTCATTTTTAAATTAATCACAGTTTCTTATTAAAGCAGTTTTCAAGGAGTCACGAGAGAAACTCTTGCACCATCTTTCATAATTTTTCATGTGTGTCACCTTTTTCCCAGGTTAATGGAAGTGACTCCTGGTATAAGCATGCCTTCATTTGGTGCCTTTGAGTATGGCTGTGCCATTCTTTTCCCTTTAGTGGCAGGGTTGATCCCCTTGGTAGCAGCCGAGTGTATGTTTTACATCGCTGTTTGGACAGATACAGAAACAATACGTGCTCCTTAGTAACAGGCATTGGCCTGAAGACATTGCCAGTGATGATTTGGCAGTGGCTCATGGGGAGGCTCATGATTTAACAGGAGCTTAAGATTTGGTTCCTTTGGATGGGTTTTGTTTGCTTTGTTACAGACTCTAGGTGAGGCTAGCATGGTGACGTGGGAGACGACAGGGGTTTCCATTATGGTGAGCAAATGTGGACTCCTTTAATTCTGATATTTTAAACTAATCCTTCTACTGCCCTTTGAGGTTAATCTCTGTTCACTCAGCTGTGGTTACTCTGAGTAAACAACTCCAAAGCCTTACATTCTCTCTCATGGGATTTGGTGAATTTTGTCTGGCAGTCTGGGCAATAACTGGATCTGTCTCTTGGATTACTAGATTGTTTCTTCAAAGGACCTGGAGCTTCCTTCCTCTTCCTTTTCTGAGCTGTAAGAATGTAATTGTGCTGGCTGTGAAGAATGCATGACTGCTATAAATAGCCAGTGAATTATAGGTGAAGGTAAGAGCCAGGAATGTCCCCATCCAAGTGCAGCATTGCCATTGTCCCAACAGCCTTGGGCAGTGCACGTGTTCCTTCCATTCCATATTCTCTTCCATTGGTAAAACGAGATAATGACATCTGTCCACCCCGTGCTGCTGAGGTCAGGAACAACTAGCTACTGTCCTTGTGGGACTCATTAAATAGTGCTGTATGAATGCCTCCTATACCATCTGACTTAGCTCAAGCTTTAAAGTTCTATGGCATTTGAGTTCCAGTGGACGTGCTGATAATGGCATTGCTTGGTGTCTGGCGTCCCCACAGATCTCTAACTGTGCCACAGCTTCTCTGTTGGAACAGAGGCTTTGTCAGGGAGAGCAAATAGTATGGATTGTATGGATTGTGTACCATTGCCCTCTGTTGGACAGCACTAGGCTCAGTCCAAGTGCTTGTCTTCTTCTGCAAACCTTTAGAGCAATAGACCTGATAAAACTGTGTAAGTAAGCTTGAAGTGTTTAGTGACAAACTGACCATCCTTGTCCCAGTCCCTAAAATTCAGAGGGAAACAGAAGTTTGGAAACCTGTCATGTCCTACAGTCTGATATAACAGAATCTTTCTGCTTTACTGGTAAAACATGATTTTTTTTTTCCCCTCTTGCTCTCTACCTACTTCACATCTTCTGTGGCCTGTGAGCTTCCTGTGGATATGTAGGTGAGTGTTCAATATAATGTATTTCCTGTATTTAGTTTAGCTGTGGTTTTTCAAGAGGTTTGTAAGCTTTGTCAAAAAGTTTGCATTTCATACACACTGTAGCATCTGAAAGGGAGGTCATGAATAATGGCAAGAATTTAAAACAGGAAAGTAAAAATACGAAAGGTACAAACAATCAAATTATTATCTGAGGGGGAAAAACATTACAATGTTTCTTGGAAGTGCCCATAATCCTCATTGTAGTTGTGAACTTAGTCCTAACTACTTTTGTGTTTTCTGCCCTCCAGAACACAGTTTACGGCAGAGCATTTAGTGCAGTAGAAATTATTATAAAGGTCACAGCGAAAAATAAAGACTGTTGCTACTGTCTGAATGTTATCTGTTTGGATTGCTGCTCTCCAAACCTGTGTTCATACTGCTGTTCATTTGAGGTTACATGCAGAGGACTCACATCTAACTCCAGTAATAAACATCCAAAACACAGTGATCTGTACCTAATTCTGCAGGGTAAACAGCAGCTTATTCAAATCCAGGAAGAGGTGAGTGGTGATCTGCTCATTTAAGAAACCTCCAAGTTGATTTTGAAGAAGCATCTGCCTAAACTTCCAGAACTTTATGGCCCCCAAAATAACAGCAATCATCTCTTCACTGTCCTTGGTTGGTTTTGCTGTTCTGTTGATGATACATTTCTCAAGTGCAGAATTATCCAGATCTCTGCAAGCCTAGGTGAGTTTGGAGTGGTGTAAGGCTATGCCTGGTGCTCCAGTCCACCTATTTTAGGCATTTATTTGGGGATGGAGTTAATTTAAGAATGGCCCCTCTACACTGATTATACAGGAGGCCAAGACAGCAACTTGAGCCTCAGCAGAGTCTCAGCAGAGACAACTCTCTATAATTCTGCACATCAGTGAGCAAGTTCCTAAGAGAAGATAACATTACAAAATCTGATTAATGTCTTATTGTTTTGTTAATCACATTTTTTATTTCTACAGGCTACAAAAATCTACAGATCTACTGACACCAATTCAGTACTTATAAATTTGTCATGTTTTGTGGTGCTGCACATTTCTGTGTGAGGTGAAGTCCTTGCCCTGCTGGCACAAGCAGTAAATTAGTCAAGCTCTCATTGAATTAGCTGGTATCAGGATTTTGCTCCACATGGTCAAAGGAGTTTTGTTGCCTTGTTTTGTTCTTAGTGATTTTTTAAAATAAAAGTTTTCTCAGGGCATACTGATTCAGTAGGAAGAATCATTAATTTCTACACTAATCTTTTAATTTTACTGCCACGTGGAAAAACTCTTGGGATTTTAAACTGAAGAAGGAAGTAAAGAATGGTGAACTCCACAGACATAGTGGAGAAAATAATCTTGAACTTTCACAAGATCATGAAATTATGTGGATCTGTGGTGGGGAACCACTTGGAAACTATAAAATTTACCAAGATTGATCATCTTCTTAAAAGTATTCTATTTTGCATACAAGTAATTCACTAGGGAGTTTCAAGTCCTGTGTTTGTATACAAACTAATTTATAGGCAAAATATTTGCATTTAAATTTAACTGTCTTGAACAGAACTACAAATCAGAATAGCTGATGAGCACCTGATCAAAACTACTGAGTTTATGCTTAGGAGCTCTTCTGTTAGAAAAAGTCCCCAA